CGCGACCTGCTGGCCGTGAGCGTCGGGCCGCCCGCCTGCCAGGTGAGCCGCGCACCGGGGCCTGACCGGACACGGGGCCTGACCGGACACGGGGCCTGACCGGACACGGGGCCTGACCGGACACGGGGCCCTTGACCGGACACCGGGGCCCCTTCCCAACCCGCACACCGGGGCCTGAACCGGACACGGGGGCCTGAACCGGACACGGGGTCCTTTAACTGGACACCGGGGCCCTTTAACTGGACACCGGGGCCCCTTTAACCGGACACCGGGGCCCTTTAACCGGACACCGGGGCCCTTTAACTGGACACCGGGGCCCTTTGACCGGACACCGGGGCCCCTTTAACCGGACACCGGGGCCCTTTAACCGGACACCGGGGCCCTTGACCGGACACCAGGGCCCTGAACTGGACACCGGGGCCTGAACCGCACACCGGGGTCCTTCCCAACCCGGACACCGGGGCCTGACCGGACACCGGGGCCTGAACCGGACACCGGGGCCTGAACCGGACACCGGGGCCCTTTCCCGGACACCGGGGCCCCTTCCCAACCCAGACGTCAGGGCCCCTTTCCCACCCGGACACCTGGGCCCCTTTCCCGACCCGGACGCCGGGGCCCTTTCCGAACACAGACGCCTGGGCCCCTTTCCCAGACACCAGGGCCCTTCCCAGACACCAGGGCCCCTTCCCAACCCGGACGCCTGGGCCCTTTCCCAGACACCAGGGCCCCTTCCCAACCCGGACGCCTGGGCCCTTTCCCAGACACCAGGGCCCCTTCCCAACCCGGGTGCTGGGACTCTTTTCCAACCTGGACACCGGGGCCCCTTCCCAACCCGGACACCTGGGCCCCTTTCCCGACCCAGACGCCTGGGCCCCTTTCCCGGACACCGGGGCCCTTCCCAGACACTGGGGTGCTTTAACCCGGACGCCTGGGCCCCTTTACTGGATGCCAGGACCTCTTCCCAACCCGGACACCTGGGCCCGTTTCACCCGGATACTGGGAGCACTTTCCCAGCATGTGGGCCCCTTCCCGGACACCGGGGCCCTTTTCCCGGACACCGGGGCCCTTCCCGGACGCCGTGGCCCCTTCCCAACCCAGACACCGGGGCCCTTCCCGGACGCTGGGGCCCTTCCCGGACGCCGGGGCCCTTTCCCGACCCGGACGCCTGGGCCCTTTCCCGGACGCCGGGGCCCTTTCCCGACCCGGACGCCGGGGCCCTTCCCGGACGCCGGGGCCCTTCCCGGACACCGGGGCCCTTCCCGGACGCCGGGGCCCCTTCCCGACCCGGACGCCGGGGCCCCTTTTCCCGCAGGAGACGCTGCGCTCGGCGC